GTTTCGCTCCTCATCCGAGGAGCGAAACGTCTTCTGTTACAAATAAAGTCCAGTTGTTTTTGTATTGAACGCTTTTTGAATTCATCATGTCCTGGATGACTGAGAATCTTCACCGGCACATCACTCTCTAGACCATTCCACAATCCAACTCCTTGGATTGAGGTAGACCTTCCCTTCAGACTAGTTCTGAATTTTGGTTTGACAAATATCTCTATCCCCTTAAGATTATAACAACTTTGTCTTTTTACAAAATTTATTTGGATATTTAATGGTAATGTGTTATTTTGAGCCCTATACATAACTGATAAAATACTATAATCTACCAAATCATGGAACTTCAATAACTTCAGTTGATAAAATAATGTGCTTGATGGGTGACTGTAATGCTTTCTGGTGATAATTCTTACAGCTCTTTTCTGTAAAATAAAAATAGGTTTTGTAAATGTTTTACATGCTTCCCCCAAACATCAATGCAATAGATTAAATGTGGAACAATGATTGTGTTATACAACATGTACAGAGCTTTATCATTTAATAATTCCATGACTTTGTATAGTACTGCAATAGATTTAGATATTTTTGTTCTTACAGAATTTATGTGATTTTTCCATGTTAGCTGTTCATCAATGATTACACCCAAAAATTTTATCTCATTAACTCTACAAATCTCAACACCCTCAATTTTAAATGGATCATCAACAGTTCTCTTTTGTTACTAAATATCATGTATTTAGTTTTATCTAAATTTATTGATAATTTATTAAGTTTAAACCAAGTTGTATTTTATCAAATTCTGTCTTCATCAATTCCAACATCCGTTTTACATCTTTACCCAAACAAAAAAACGTGGTGTCATCTGCAAAAAGGACACATTTGAGGAGTCCTAATACATTTACTAAGTCATTCACATATAAAATTAATAACTTTGGTCCAAGCACAGAGCCTTGAGGAACTCCACACGTGATATTGCAGAGGTCAGATCTTACACCATTTATTTGTACAAACTGTTTCCTATCTTTCAAATAGCTAGATACCCAGTGTAGGGGTTGTACGAGTATATATTTTTAAACTCGACATTAACATAATAAAACCCGAGTAGAACTCGAGTATTTGATGAAGTCATAAATCTCAAGATACAAAAATAAATAAATAAATAAAACCGCAAAAAAGGTAAATATTTACAACAAAAAAAAAAGACCAACAAAACATTGGGAGCGTATATTATGCTCCTACCATTTATCATACTGCAAATAAGTCACAGGAAAAACTAAACTATTAGTTATTATCATTATTAAACTGCAAACGTGAAAAACGAAACTTAAACCGAAACTGGTTCTGGTTCAGTGGATTGGACCCTGTGTTACACCATACTCTGTGACCTGCAACAGTGCAACACCGCCCCCTACGGTCATACGGTGTTCACATAATATGACGTCACTACGGATACTCAATGTTAAATTTTTAACCTCGATAGATGTCCTAGCAATTGATGTGTAGATTACTCGAGTACTCTGTTAATGCCCTAACCCAGTGTAATGCTGGTCCTCTTATACCATATTTATTTAATTTTTCAAGGAGAATAGTGTGGTCAATAGTATCAAATGCTTTTTTTAAATCAACAAAAATACTAACACAATACTGTTTTTGATCAACAGCAGTAGTTATTTGTTCTATTATTTCCATGAGAGCCATTGATGTAGAGTTTTTTGCTCTAAACCCATACTGACTGCTACTTAGAATGTTTTGTTTAGTAATAAATTTATCTAATCTGGTCACAAACAGTTTTTCTAGAATTTTTGAGAACTGTGGTAATAAGCATATAGGTCTGTAATTATTGAACACACATTTATCACCATTTTTAAAGAGAGGAACTACCTTAGCTACTTTCATATTGTCTGGAAATATTCCTTTTGAAAATGATAAATTACAAATATATGTAAACGGCTCGATAACATAACTCATTATGTCCTTTACAAACATCATATCCATGTCCACCCAGTCTTTTGAGCTCTTATCTGTAAGATTTTTTACTACATTCATTATTTCTTCTTTGTCAGTTCCATTAAGAAAAATACTGTTGTCACAACCTATAACTGAATGGTTCACATTATTGTCCACTTTTGGTATTTTAGCTGCACGGCTTGATCCAATGTTCACAAAATAATGATTAAATCCATTTAAAATTTCATTTTCATCATGGATTTCATAATCATCCTTCAAAAAATATTGTGAAATACCTGTTTTTGCTTTATGACTTTTCAGAACACTATTTATTACTCGCCATGTAGCTTTCATAACACCATTACTTTTATTTAATAAATCACTATAATATTCCTTCTTGTGTTTCCTTATAATCACTACTAATTTATTTTTATACTTCTTATATTTCTCTTCAGCCTCTTGTGTTCTCAATTTCAAGAAACATGTATACAAATAATTCTTTTTTTTACAAGCATTTCTCAACCCTTTCGTCATCCATGGTTGGTCAACAACATTTCTCTTTGTACAATTATTTTGCACACAATTCTTTTCATACAGAGCTCCCAAAATATTCATAAACTCATCATATGATCTGTTCACATCATCAACATACACGTCTTTCCAGCTTTGTTTATGTAAATCATCTTTTAATTTGTCCAATGCTTTTTTTGATGTGTTTATTGTTTTTTTCTTAATTGTGATTTCTTTTGTAATGCTTTGATCATTTTTATGAATCATGAAAACTGGTAAGTGATCACTTAAATCACTCATTAAAATACCTCCCATCACATCCCCATTTGTTATCTTTGTGAAAATATTATCGATTATTGTAGCACTATGAGTTGTAATTCTTGTTGGTTTTGATATTAACGGATAAAGATTTAAACTATACAATGAATTTGTAAATGTACTGATGTTATTTGAATCTGTTTTATTTCCCAGGTCAATATTAAAGTATCCACACAAAAAAATGCTTTTATTAAAATTCTTGTCCAATAGTTGTACAATTTTATCTGTGAATATCTCTATATTTGATCCTGGAGATTAATATACACAACTTATTAATATGTTTTTATCATTCTTGTTTATTATTTCTAGAATCAGAATCAGTTTATTATTGCCATGTCAATGAACGAGGTTCACAAACTAGGAATTTGCTTAGACCTAAGGTGCGAATATTCTATTCTATTGTTATTATTTCCATGATATCATCAACAATTATTGACATTTCATTAATTAATTTACATTTTATTTCATTTTTAACAAATAGAGCCATAGAGCCATAACATATGACTCAAGTGCGCCCCCTCTCATACTGATATTGGTGGAAGGCGATTGCAAAGTTTAGGCATATGCGCACCTTGGCGGACACATGCGGGAATGGCATGAGAGCATTCGCGACGGCGACAGGGAGGCATTGAGCTGTTCTGCATCACACTCTTTAATTTTGTGGTTGCGGATGGCTAATTCTGTGGCTGGGATCATCTCCACCAGAGGAATTCTACTTGGTGCAACAGCAAAGTTCAGTCCCCTGGCAAGAATCTCTGTCTCCGGCTGGGTGAGCTGTCTGACATATGAATTATTCACCCAGTTTTCTGTCTCCCTGGCATGTAATTAACTACTGAAGTGTTGTCTTACACTGAATGTGTTGTTATTGGAATAGTGATGGTGTTGATGAGTTATTAGTAAGTTAAACTTGTTTTGTTGTCGAGTCTTGGACTTGACATGCTGCGCTAAGCATGCCTGATCTGTACAGTCCAACACTTGCTGAAGTGTGGTCTGATCTAGGCACGTTGTTAGTTTGTGTTTAATTTGCTCTTCTTTGGCCTTCAAGGCCTCAATAGTAAAATTGGTCTATCTCACCCGTTCATTCAGCAGCTGGGTCTGTGCCTTCTGAAGGATCTTGCTTGCCCCAATTTAAGTTTTTATCTCGCCTTTTACTATTTTTAGCTTTTATTTAGTATTTTTCTCCTTTTAGCTAGTGTTCTGCTTATTTTCACTTTTGGTTATCCTTCATAGCTTTAGCACAGTTTCAGCTTCTTCAATTTCCAGCACTCGGCATTCACACTGCATTTCTGTAGAAAATGCAATTACTTTACTTATATGTGTTGTCTATGATCACCTTGAAGGCCATAGGAAGCTCCACAATGTAGAGGTCCACATAGTCTAGTTTTAGTGCTTTCAGTGTCCTCTCCAAAGCAGGTCTCACCAACTCTGGGGAGTGGAAGGTATTCCAGAGCTGTGGCAGACAGAATAGTTAAAAAATGTCATTAATTAAAATAAATAAATAAATAAATAAATAAATAAATAAATAAATAAATAAAATCCTATAAGTTGAAATGTCAGTAAATCTAAGTTGAAATAAAATCAACTCAGAGTTGTCATGCTGCTGGCTCCACTCTTCTAAGTGGGTTAATATTACCTTGTGACAACAGTGATATTTGTGTAAGTTGTGGATAATAGCTATAAATCAGACAGTTTTACAGATATTGAGCTAAACTTAGGTGTGATAGTAGTTCAGAATCATTCACATAAACCCAGAGCATTATCAAAAATCAAGGGTTCCTGAAGTACAACATAAAATGAGACCTTGGACATAAAATCTACATGTGTTACCTTCCCACAGTAAAAGATGTCCTCTCTTCTAACAGTTCCATCTGCAATCTTCTCTCTAATGGCTTGGCCCACTTCATGCTCATTGAAATACACCAGTGCCCCATCAAAGTGCCTGTAACCAACATCTATGGCAAGCTTGACACATTCAAGAGCTGTACCTTTGCGTGTCTACAAAAATCCAATGAAAAACAACAATAAATAATACATAATTTATTTAGCCTGTCGGTGATACATAATAGCATAAGCATAGACACTTGCTTGTGACAGGGAATTATTATGGTTAACCTGTCATATTTGTATGCTGGTCCTACGAGGTCTGCCTGAAAATCATCTCCATCCAAGCTCTATTTTAAGCATCAAAATGTTCATGTTTGTCAAAGGAACAGAAGCTATGTTTCTACTCACAATTCGAGGATCCCCATAGGTACCCAATCCCAGCAGTGGAATATGGTTACCATCACTGAGAGGAATACTGTGTGTCTCTGCAGAAAGAAACATGATTGTATGAATGTAGCCTATAGCTGTGCAACTGATCTGTTATCAATCCCAACTGAAGGGTGGCAGAGATCAACCATGAACATTGGACCTGGATGACGCAACATCCAGCAATCATTAGGAGTTGCCTAAAACTTATCCTAAGCCTTTGAACCCTTTCACAGCTAAAAAAAACCCAAAACATATATTAACACTGTGTTGCACAGACTTACACAATGTAATTTATACCAGAGCAGGGGCGGCTGTGGCTGAGGGGTTAGAGCAGTCGTCCTCCAATGCGAGAGTTGGGGGTTCGAATCCACCAGCAGTCACATGTCCAAGTGTCCCTGGGTAAGACACTGAACCCCTCATTGCCTCTGATGTGTGTCCCATCGGTGTATGATTGTGATCTAAAGCACTGATTAGTCTCTTTAGAATGATTTGTTCAATTAGCTTTGAAGTGATCTAGTAGAGTGCTGTATGAATAGGTAAATGAGGCACAGATTGTAGTGTAAAGCGCTTTGAGTGTCTTGAAATAAGATAGAAAGGCGCTGTATAAGTACAGTCCATTCCATTTAGCAGAAGTTGTTCAGAATCATGTTCCACTCAAAAGTATTAAAATTGTCAGCTATTTATCATATAAATATGCTATTAAATATGCTATTAAAAATGCCTTTCACAGTCCTTTTAAACAATAAATGTTCAAAATAATAGGCAAAACAATGTAAGACTGTAACACTACAAAGCACACAAATGTAAGGATGGTATCCCTCTGTCAGTCTCCCTGAGTCTGTACTCCCTAGTATCATCAAAGTCCATTCTCAATAATCCAGGTACACAATCCAACAATTTTCAATTTTTTTTCTTTTTCTTTTTTGTGCTGAAAGGTTTCACCTTCCATCTAGAAGGCTTCATCAGTCAAGGAAACACACAACACAAAACTGATTCTACCCCAACAGC